TTTTTTTTTCACGAATTTTGAAACATCTAATCACTATCGTTAAACTACAATGAACAAGACGACGGACTGAGAGGGTCCTATGTAGTTTCTAGTCAATTTATACACTCCATTCTTCATCATCAACTTTGCATATATTTCATAAAGAATGGCTCTACCATCATTTTGTTTGAGCATATTTAATGAAACTTTTGGCTCAAGACAAATTTCATTTTGATCCAAAAAATTGACTACTTAGTAGTATTTCTCAAATTTTTTTATTATCAAAGTTAAAAGCATGTAAGGTATTTATATTGATAATGAGGTAAATATTACTTTCGAATAAGTAAGAAAAACACAATTTAAGTAAATTTGTTTAGATTTATTTATTTTTTTACTTAAAAGTAACCCGAACAAAGTAATATGTAGATGTTGCAATGAAGAGAGGGCGAGGTCGAGGGCTAGGGCTGTGGTTGGCCCTCCCCATTCCTCGCCTCGCATCCTAAAAATATGCCCATTTTTCGTTTCGTTTTTATTTATTTATTTACTTATTTTTCATGTTAATTTTTTCATTTTATAATTTTGATATAAATTAACAAAAATAAAAAATAAAGTTAAAACGAAAACCACGCTCCCTTTCCATGCCCCAATTCCCTTAATGGAGCAAGGCGGTATTGGGATATTTTACCATCGCCTGCTGGATTGCTCCAATTGCCATAATGCGTTTTAATTCAATGTCCTTTCTATAAAATTTTAGGTTGGGCACGTTCATATTTCGAAGAGAATTCAACCGAATCAAGTACCAAGTACGTTCTAAAATTTGAACCATTAGTTCAATCTCTAAAAATGGAATCAAACCATTCAGTTCCAATTTTGGATTGATCCAATTCGATCAATTGAAATTCTCAAATTCACTAACCAATGTAAATGAATTGTCCGAGTATAAAAAGTAACGATGAACACGATTCGTTTCGAAAAGGAACCAAGTGGAATCAAGAATTATTGGGTACCTTATAAATGAAACCATTAGGTCCAACTTTAATTATGGAGCTGAATCGTTCGGTTGAAGTTTGATTCCTTACTATAATTAATTTTTTCAATGTTTTTCATAATTCCAACGACTACTAGAGTTTGAAATAACACGCCATTGATCTATTAAATGATAGATTATATCTTACAAATAACAAATATAGTCCTAATTTAAAAAATAAAACAAGTTGTCTAATAATATTCATTAACAAATAAATGTATATAAAGTTGAAACAATACAATTTTAATCTGACAAATGATAGTTGGACAATGATGTTGATAGACAATTTTTTAAAGAAAAAAATTAAAATACTTTGGCATATAGGATATATATATATATTTTTTAAGGAGATTTGATTCTTGATTCAGTTCTTTGTTTGCCAAATCAAGTTCCTCAGTTTTCAATTCTAATGCCCATGATGCAATTTAACCTAAGAAGAATCAAGTGAAATCGAATCGATTGATTAGAAAATTTTGTCCACACCTATATAGAATTTCTATAGTTATAAAGGCCTGTTTGATTATAACGATGAAATTTAGGTGGAAAAAAAATAAATTTCAGATAATTGAATTGCCTAAAATTCTTTGTACTGGGAAATGTCAATTAATTGTGTTCGATTGATATAATTTTCCACATTAAAAATATTGAAATTTTTGATCTTTTGATGCTAGTTTGACTTTTTTCATGAAAATTGTCCATTAAACAGAATTTTTTTTTTTTTTTTTTGAATAGAATTCATTTCCATTGCCAAAAAAAAAAAACTGGAAAATTCTAATTCCCACCAAAGTGGTGGGAAAATCAATTCATCAAAAAAGACTCGAAAACGCTAATTCCCACCGAAGTGGTGGGAAAATCAATTCATCAAAAACAAGGAAAAGCCAATCACTTGAGGCTTCATTGGAAAACAAATTCCATGGAATATTTTACCTATCAAACATGGCAAAAAGTGGAAAGTTGGAAAATATATTCCGACTTCTATGAAAAATGACACCTATCAAATAGGGTCTAATTGTTTACCTAAATTCTCCATAATCTCCTAGTTAAAACAATCTATATTGACGTCAAAAATGTCAATTTTCAATTTTGAAGTGTAACTGAATACAACAATTTACGCTATCTATCCAACTAGAAGTAGAATACTGTTGCTTGAACATGTTCTCGAAGAATATATTCCAACCTAGCTTCCATTTTCTTTGTAATTTGAGGGGTAACAATTGCAAGGATGAAAGAGAGAACAATCATGCTCGGTGTACATCATAGTTTACATTTTGCTACGTGACGATGTACAATTGGATAGTTTAAAAAACATATATAGTTTTTTAAGCTACTTATTTGTCGACAACACAACAGATGTTAACAATAGTGTAATAAACGAGTGTACAAATAACTTTACACACGAGAGAAAAAGAATAAAAGATTCTTATTAATTTAAAATTATATATATTAATTCCCCGTTTGGTAGGGGTTAAAATGTAGAGTTTTATCAAATTTAAAAGTCAACAATTATATTCAATTGGTGGATTGCTCTACCCAGTGTTTAAAATAGAAAAGTATAACTGAGGATCGTTCCGGAATAGTCAGATTCTCGATCTTAATAATCGAAGATGATTAAAACATGAGTAGAATCGGACCAAACTTACCAATTCTAGTTCGATCCAATAATTCTAATTACTTTTGCTTACCCCTATAAAAGTTCATTGGAAAGAAGTAAAAATTATAACTTGACCATATTCCATGTAATCCTAGAAAGAAGGGAGTGTAAGTATCGAAAAGTATTTTTAAACTCACATACAGGGTTTAAAAGTCATTTTCTATTCATTTTTTGCTAAACATATCCTACTTCCTTTAAAAGAGA